TTGCGATCTGGAAACTTGATGTAGTTCGCAATTCTCTGCAGAACCATAAAACCCTAATCACAATTAATTCGTTGCAAAGAGGATTCCTCGGCAAAAATAATAAAAGCCAGCCCGAAGGAAACAAAACGGTGGGAGGGCGCGTCTTCTCCTGGGGCTGCGTGCATCGTTTAATTACGCGAAAGTGTTTTTCATCAACGCAAAGTACCATACATGCCCACAATAACCACACTTTTATGTTTTCTTCTTCTTCTTCTTCTTTTTTTTTCACGTCCCTTTAAAACGCCAACCCTCACAACCCCACATTGTATGCGAGATAGCGCCACAGCTAGGTTGGTCTTTGGGCGGCTACCGGTGTCTTGTGCGTTTGCAAAACCCATGTGTATACACAGTTTCCTATATAAAAGCCGGGACAAGATAAATCTTATCTCGCCTCAGACATCCTGCGCGAACAAAGTATCCTAATTAAAATAACAGTACGACGGGCGCGCGCTCGCTCGCGAGGTCTTTATACTTTTCTCTCTCTCATATGGGTATTCTTTCATGCTGCCATACGGGCGGTGCTGAACCACTTTGAGTTTAACGTGGTTTGACTATCTATTTATGTGCCAAGCTCTCCGAGCTTCCTATTCTTCCTCCCCCCTGTTCTTATTAGTCTCGCTTTGTATGGGTACCTACTTCGTATGTTGTTATTACTATTCGCTCGTTTTCCCACCTGACTGCACTTGTATTCGCAGTTTTATGTAATATAGTTTGTACAGAAAAAGCAAAACTATTTGCGAGTCTTGGAGATTCGCGAGATACCGAACCACTTGGTATTGTCTTGTCTTGCTTTTCGAGGCAATATGTCGCATCGGTTGAGAGAAGATACATTTCGAGCTTGAAGACAATACCAAGTGACTTAGGACTCGCCCTTGTTGGTATGCTCGAGTGATTTTTAAAATTTTTTTAGCGGAAATCATATGTGCTTATACCATATCATATGGTTATACTTATAAACTAATCGTACGAGGTTCTCAAACACAGAAAACATTGCCACCCTGAAATGAAGACGATGACATGGTTGTTTGTTCTTTTTCAAAATACCCAAGCTTTCGAGACAAGTCACAAAGCGTTTTTATAACAGTTTTCAAACGCTCGTATATTAAAAATAGAGGTATCAAAAGTAGTCACCAGCAAACGAACAAAGATTTATTTTCATGCGTGATACTATGTACACATAATGTGATTTTAATTGATTGTTCTCGAGGTTATTCACAACAATACCGATGACTCAATGTTTTATTTTCAAGAATTTATTTTGGTAGCTCACATCTAAAATGTAATCGAGCATTTATTCAACTACTTTTGATTGAGTAGAAAAATATGTGCATGGTCGTTTAAATGACGCAAAAAAAATGGCAAGTACCAACATTCTGAACTCTAAAGGCGCCTCACCTACAAGTCATATACCACAGAGGTGTACCGCAAAAGAAAAACCCGGATCTTTGTCCGTGTAACTACATCTTGAAACCTCACATGACTCGGCCATCAAGCTAAATAACGCGTATGCAGAAGCACGTGGGTGGGACAATCTAATCGGTGTACGCATAAATACCTGCAGCCTCCGGTGTGAGGGTCTTCTCTTTTTCGTTCCTGACATTTCGACCACGGCAGCGGTAACAGCGACAACGACGACGACGCGTCGGTCTAATAACGCGCCCTTACGGCCAAAGTACGGACGCGCTCCTTATACGGAAATCAGACGGACAGCAGGTGGTGGCCTATTACTAGCGATCCCGGGCGTGCCACGGGCTCCGCTTCTGAGACACTCTGACGAATGGGCGAAATATTTCTTCGCCACAAAGGGCCTCGTAGCGCGTAATGTCCCGTCGGACGCGTCTGTATATATACACACCCCACTGCGATGTCTCCTCCAGGAGACGAGAGGAGAACGCGTGGGTTGGCGGGTGCTTGCACGTATGAGCGCGGCTTGTAAAAATAAAAATCGACTGGGAGCGTCGCTAACGAAAGTATATAGGCGTACAGATTTGGATTGAGAGATTAAGCGGTGCTGCTGCAGGGGGACGAGAGAATTAATTTAGAGCCACTCGGAACTTCCGCGGGGGGCCTACAAAGCACATATACGTTTACGAAATGACTATAGTGTACACAGCTCATTTGGTGTATTTATTATTATTTTTTTTTTTTACATGGATACAGACAGAGAGCGTTTGCAATAGCGGATGCTCAACTCGCCCCACGAGAGTAATTCCATTTCCAGCGATTCCGATTTGCCCCCAAAGACGCGGCTGCTTATACGCGCGCTCGAAATGAGCTCAGCCGCGGCGTCTCGCACACGCACATATATATACACGTGCAAGCGCGTCAAAGACTCGTCGCAAGAAGATCAACTTTGCCCCCCCCCCCCTGGCACAGGGTTTGCCGGATCTTGTCGGAGGAGCCCTTCGGCCCCACCTCTTTAGCATATACATTCTGTAAGATTACTTTGCGAGGGGCTCGTCTTCCTCGTCTTCTTTGGCTGATATTCCATTCGGCCAAGTTCGCTCTTGTCCCTAATGTATGCGGGACCGGAGACGAAATTCCCCGGCTTCGACACGAGAAGGCCCGTGTTGAGATTCACCGTATAACACACGCGTCGCGAACACCGTCCTTGTCCCGAAGTTATCCGTCCCCGGGTATAACATGGAGGGCGACGACGCGCAGACAAGAAATTCTTCGCGCCCTTACACGAGTTCCCTGTCCTCGTCTCGTGCACTCCTGACTCTCGATCGATAAGGAAACGCTCATATGGCACACTTTCTGCATACACATTTGTCTCGCGTCCGCGTGCTCTCTCTCTATTTTCTTCCATTTTTGCCCAAAGCGACGGAAACTTTGTGCCAACCGGGCGCGTGTTTAATTGTTCCAAAAGCCATAATAATAAAAAATTCAAAAAAGTAGCTCGTGCAACTTTGTTACATCCGATAAAGTAAAAGCACTCCGGGCAAGTACATAATTTATTGCCGAGGAAAATAGCGATGCTCAAGGCGCACGCTCTGTATAAATGTACAACTTGGGTTTATAAGTATATATTCGCATATAATACACTCATGAAATATAAATGTACGATACGAGAGTAAGGAGTGAGTGAGTAACACGGGTGCGCTAAAAAGGTCGTTATTATTTGTTTTTTTCCTTAATTATATATAAATATAATATGCTGCCTACCTCGCGGCATACGATTTTTATCATCGTTGTAATTTTCGGTATAAAATATTCTCAAGCGTGTATAGGTGTATACGTTATATACGTGCTGCGCATTAACCACGCGTGCACACCATTTCCTCTATTCTGTTTTTTTTTTTTTTTTCGTCTCTTGCACTTTTCATGTTGAAATTCTCGGCCCCCGGGGGCGAAACGCGCGTGATCCTAATTAGCGCTCGCCACCCAACACACACATGCACAGCCGAACTGCACGTGTACACGTTTGTATACCAGGGCAACCCGTTGGGTTACCAAGTCGGTTGTTGCAGAGCAGCTCTTTCTCTCTGTTACGGTGCAAAGAGTTGGCATATATATGGGTACTTTTACGTCAAAGTTCCAAAATAATAAACGCCCGCTGTTGTTTCGAAATCGGGTATATGGTGAAAATTAGCTCAAGCATGGGAAGATTCGAGTGAAAAAGTCTGTTGAAACGTAGAAAAATAATGAAATAAGGGCTTGATTAATCTCATATTTTGTTATTTGCGAGCGCATTACCGTTTTTTCATACAACTTCATTAAATATTACGGCACATAAGCTTACAAGGAGGATTTTTCATCAATATCGTACACGTATGTTCGCTCTACCGACTTACCTACCAAGTTCAATTAAAGATATCCTACAATATCCAATATAATGTAAGAATCATTAGTATGTGTTAAAAAATATCAGTTTAAATACAAGTTTTGGGAATTAAGATTAATTAATCAAATCATACGTACAAATGACAGTAGTTATTAAGGAGGTTCGGTAGTGATAATTTTTTATGATGAAAATTTTTGAAATTTCGATATGTCGTTTGGGATAATAGTATCAAATTACAGCTAAATTTTTGAAGGGTTTAACCACACCGTTTTCAAGATATATTGACCTGAAAAAACAATATTTTAACATGTAGGCTTATGAAGAAATCACTTAAATNGTCCGTGAGGAACTTTTTGAAATGCTTGACGAGGTCCTGATTACGGGCGGAGCCGCCTTTGTCCAGCAGGTACCTGCGGATCTCTTCCAGGGATAGTTCGCTGGGCGACGCCATCTTCGGCCAACTAACCTCTCCTCCTTGTCGTGCGTGACTGCCTATGTGAGTCAACAACTGCGAAAGGGATGTATATATACCTGTATATACGTATCTCGGATCGGTATCGGTATATATACCTGTACCTACACACGCATCGCTGCGCCATAGGTATACAAAGCGTAGTGTAGTCAATGGATAAATGAAATCTGTCTGTTTTAACTCTTTCGTACATATAGATTCATACACACACACACACACACACACACACACACGCACTTGAGTATATTTAGAAAATAGCGATAAGCTTATTCTTTCATTCGACCATCGTTAGACATAAAAAAAAAAAAGCAATTAAAAGACCCTAGCCGACGGAATGGCAGTAGTTTAATCGATGTTGAAAACAAATATTTACTGCCTCACGAGGAGGGCCGTTGCATACGTGATTAGCGATCCAAAGGAACAATTTCCAAAGTACTCGAGTACATAGTACTATATCAAAGTGCGGCGCTGGCTGTCTCTTCCGTTGAGTCAGACATCGGCAAACACGTGATTGTCAAAACAACAGCTTCAAACGTAGCAAATGAAAACGCAAAACCGCGCGCAGCCAACTATTTTTTTTCACATTCGCGTACAACAAGCGCACGTGTAAATACACAAACCGTGCAAACAATAACGGGCGACGCAATCGCGGAGCCGCCGACAAAAGCAACAAGTATAAAATGGAAAATATGTCGTCGTTACCTTCTCGGAGCGCTTTTTGAAGGGGGAGGTGACGGAGGAGCTCGGCCTATTCGCCGGGACACTCGTCTCGGTGGCCATCCGGTTGAACCTCTGCATTCTCTCGCGCACGCTCAACTGTTCCGCGGGCGTCAACTGACCCGCGGGCGATGCGCACGGCTGCTGGTGCTGAGCCGTCTCCAGCTGGCAGGCCTCGTCCTCCTGCATTATCATTAGCATGTTCTTTTTTTTTTCGTATTTATCATCAAACGACGAGAGAGACAGCAAATTATCTAATCGTCCTCTCCTACGAGATAAATGACACACCACACACAAGTTGGCACGCGCAGTTGAAAGTAACCCTTTGCGTGCCAGTATATATGTATATTATGTTGTGGTAAATTTATTAATTTTGCAAAAAGCCAACTCACAACGGGTACTACAAGGAAATCACCGGGGACAGAGAGAGAGACACTACAACAACACACAGGCGGCAGGCAAATTTAAGCGAGGGGTGTATGGAAAAAATAGGCGACACGTATCGATACTTTGGAGCTCGGCCATCAACTCGCATAAAACGTGTTTGAAAACAAGGTGTACTCGTTGATTGAGAGAACAGGAAAGCGCTGATAAGAGAGTTCTTATCGCTCGCTGTTTTTAAAGAGATAAAGCTCTCCTCTTCCTCTCTGACGTGCGTTCACGAACAGCCGAAGCTGCGGCTGCTATGTTGCTGTTGATGTGAGTTAAAGCTTCGTAGTAGTGATGGATTTTTTTTTTTTTTCATCCAAGCTCTGTGCGAATACACTAATCATAGCGTTGCCTTTTTTTTTTTTTTTTAAGCACATCGATTAATCTTTGATACATGCTAGAAACATTGCCATAATAAAAATAGCTACAGCAGGTTAATTATTAATTAAAACTGTGCAATGGACGGAAGGCATAATAAGGTGCATACATTTCTTAAAAATACTCAAAAATATCTACAGTGTGCCGTTAAACACGTCACGTGCTTGATAAGAAAAATAATAAAAAACAAGCTCTAAGTAAAAAAAAAAAAAATAAATAAAACTTGTCAATATGTTAAACTCATACAACTATACTAAGTACTACCCTTGGTTATTTTACTATATACATATTGACACTAGGTACATTTCTATTCCTAATAAATTAAATACTCTAATCGTGTAAATTATAATCGATTTTAATTACAATACGTGTAAAACAAGATTATAATAATAAATGTGCAATACAAGAAACATACACTATGTCAATTTATTGTACACATTCAAGTAATATGAGAATCACTAACCTTGATGGATCCATTCTTTGCTCTATGAATAACTCGATTCTCCTTGTTGGTGAACTTGATAGATTCCTGGCTCTTACGTCGTGGTGGCACGGGTGGAGATATGGCAGAACTACTTTGTGATTCATCCTCAGCAGCAGACAACTTTGATGTGATGGTTGATGTAATGTCATCGATGGTTGGCTGCACAATGGGCAGGCCAATTGGAGGATCTTGTGCATACTGAGTTACCGGAGAGGATGTATTTTGTATAGGACTGAGGGGTGCTGTCGGAGGAGGTCTGTATGGTGGAGGTTCACGTAGAGGTGATGTCGGAGTCGAGAGGTCAGGCGTCGTGACTGGAGAACTAGTAGAAAATTTTCCAAAACTCAGCGTGGGTGATGAGAGATCTAATGAAGGCTGTCGAAACTTTTTTCTTAATACAAGAAACTTTTCTCCCTGAAACACACAAAACAATGATCTGCTTAAGACAAAAGGATGCTAGTGAAATAATTATGATAAATCGGTGTGCAGTTATACATCACTAAAATTCTAAACACACACAATATCACAATTATGAGAATTGATCTAATTTGACTTGGATATCAGAGTGTAATGAAAACATCAAGTGCATAGGGTATATATCAATTATTTTAAACTCAATTTGTAGGTATAAACTAGTTTTGGTCAACTACATTGTGTTGTTCACTGCTTGATAAGGAACTAATAAGAAAATACCAATTTTTTTTATCAATAAGCTTCTAGCAGCTTGACTGAAAAACAAAACTTTAGATTTGCTCATCCCATCAAATTCTCTTAAAAAAACTACACTTTCACTTTGCAGATTATGTTATTTTAAAAACATTTTCAAGCGAGTAAGTCCCAAGCTAAAAAAGAAACAGCAAACAGATGTAAAAATAGCTCTAATCATCTTCAAATGAAACAGCTGATAACACCTGTACAGTTCTTAACCTCAAAACTGACAGATCCCTTTCTCTGTTACGCACGTACACTTAATTCAAATCACCGTATCAATAAACGTAAAACACGCACAATACCTACTTAGTCACCACTTGGATAAACAATTGTGAATGAAATCAAGCGTGTGTAAAAAGTATATAGATACAGCAACGCTATACCTATATATACACGTATATAAACACAGCAGAGATGTGCAACAAGTCAATCTCTTCATCCTTTTCTCTCTCATATGCAGAGAGAACAGCACAGAAGTACATATATGTACACGCACAATCTGTTATGGAGCACGTTAACTTTTCTCTTAATCCTAGCACTTAACAGTAAACGTACCTCCTCGGTCTTGATCGTCGCCAAGGTGTTGATGTACTCCTTGAACCTATTCCTGGCCTCCACTGGAAAACAAGAATGAAATACTCGCGTGAATAACAACAAAACGAGCAGATGTCTGATTTAAAGTTTTCTTGGTATCGCGAGTGGATGGATGACGACGGCTTACCCCGAGTCTCCGGGTCCGTGAGGAACTTTTTGAAATGCTTGACGAGGTCCTGATTACGGGCGGAGCCGCCTTTGTCCAGCAGGTACCTGCGGATCTCTTCCAGGGATAGTTCGCTGGGCGACGCCATCTTCGGCCAACTAACCTCTCCTCCTTGTCGTGCGTGACTGCCTATGTGAGTCAACAACTGCGAAAGGGATGTATATATACCTGTATATACGTATCTCGGATCGGTATCGGTATATATACCTGTACCTACACACGCATCGCTGCGCCATAGGTATACAAAGCGTAGTGTAGTCAATGGATAAATGAAATCTGTCTGTTTTAACTCTTTCGTACATATAGATTCATACACACACACACACACACACACACACACACGCACTTGAGTATATTTAGAAAATAGCGATAAGCTTATTCTTTCATTCGACCATCGTTAGTCATCGTTTAATACCTACAGATTTTTACGGCAATATTTTTAAAATCGATTAAGCGAATCGTTTCAAATGATCCATCGTATTGTCGTCGAGTTCCTATACAAACTGACATAATAATAATAATAATATTAATAATATTGAATGTAACATACATCCATACTACCAAACGAACCATAAAAATGCTGGATGACCGCTAGTTTTTAAAAATCAATCGACCATCGATTGTAAAATACATTCAACGCGCCAGACAATGTCTTTCTTAAATATTTGTTTGTACAAATAAAAAAGTAAGACATTCGTTGCACGTGGGACAGGAAAACAGTCGTATTCTGTTACCGGTCAAATAAACCTTTTAATGAAACGTAACGATTATCGATGCCAAGAACTATATACTTACTTTAAATAGAAACTGCGCTGCACGTGACGTTAAAAAGAAAGGTACATTTAAAAAACGGAAAGATCCACCCTCGCACGCCTGCACTGCATATAGGCGTTATTATACTTCAACGCACGCCAGCTCGGATTCGGCGAACGCTCGATCGGCAGCAAAGTGCCATTAATACATTTCGGAAATAATTAGCCTCGCGCTTTTCCTTTCGTGTCGCGTCCCTATATACACACGGCCTCGGGAAAAAGAGGAGTAGATACACCCATGCACATCTGCTCGGTCGGACTGGAAATAAGAGAACCTTCGACTCTCTCGTCGCGAGCTTCGAGTCTCTCAAACGGGAGGAGAAATGACACGAGAGCCCACCAGCGATTCACGGATAGAGTTGTTGCAACCATTGCGATACAATTTGTATTATTAGCATGGATGAGAACAACTCGACGATGAAACATTGTGCAATTTTCGGGGGAGAGATAAAAATGCGAGCAATTACTTGGGAGGAAAAAAAAATTAAACGATTAATGGCCTGTATCGATATCGCTCGTTATTCCTCTGCTCCGGCATAAATAACTCCGACTTCAAATTTTAATGTGCAACTGTACGTACTTACGTGCAACATAAAAGACAGGAAAACCGGTTTCCGAGTATACGTACGTATACGTACAACAGAGTGTATGTGTGCTTGTAATGTGTACGCATATATACACATGGAATAGCGAGGGGCACTCGAAATATTACATTATATCTGGAAAATGGGATCTGCGCTCGCTCGGGCGTCCTCCCATTATCCGTTATTATTGTAATTGTCGGTTAAATGCGCTCTCGGCAATTTTCGCGCGAAAATTGATATTTCAAAAGACAAAAAAAAACAGAAAAAATGAAAAAAAAAAGGCCAGAGGAAAATAGAGAATACCCAGAACGAAGAGTGCGTGCGGTGTGTCACTGCACGCCGAGTGAAAGAGCTCGCGCAAATTAACGACATGCACGTCCCTCTCGACGCGCTTTTCCCATATTCTCTCTCTCTCTCTCTCGTCAACCCCGTAGGTATACCTTTGTACACTTATATTACGTAGGAAGGGAAAGAGAGACACGGGCGCAAATTGAGCCTCTTCTATCGCTCTATATTTATTCGATGCGCAATTACCTCATGGTGTTGGCGATAAATTTTGGGCTAATTTACGACGAGCGATATTTCCCGCCGGCACGTGGATATGGGTGGGCACAAAAATTTGCTCTCCCGAGTTCAAACGCTGAAACTTTACGCGGAGATATGGGTATTTAACAATTAGAGGACACGCCCTTTCATCCCCAGGATTCCAAAGCGATGCGAGCAAGGGAAAAAGAAATTCTGAACAATTATGGGAAACTTTTTTTAAATTTTTTTATTGCGAATTCACTTCAAACCTGAGAGGCAAAAAGCCCGTCTACACAAGACAGAAAGTCAGGTACGTGCATAGTCTTCTAGCTCTTTTTGAATTAGATTTGTAGAGGCCAAAATTTGATCTTTGGATTAAATCGTAGAAAAATTTAAATCGTAACTGTAATCGCTGATCAAGTCAATGGTTCCGATTTTCGAAACCAACGTATAAGTCCTACTTTTATGAAATTAAACGGTACCGAGTAATAAAATAGGGCTCACATTATGTCGCCAACGCGTGATACAAACTTCCAATGTAAATTCAAAGTAATGTACATTTCACTACATGTTTACGCCGTTATCTTCCCTGACTGTTGGGCCGCAAAACTCACAAATCCACAGTACCAATAGCGGTGGTCGAGGTCACATTTCTGATGGACAATTTTCAATTGGGTATCTTCCTATTGTTGTTTATACTTTGGTTTGCTCTTTGAGATCTGACTCCATGTAATTATGTTATAAAAATAACATTAATGAAGAGCAGTAAATAACAGCCAACCCGTAGCGCGGAATTATGCTTTGGAAGAAAAAAAAAGTTGAGGGAAAAAGAGTAATAATTATACAAATAAGCGCTTCCCGGTCCTCCTGCCCTTTCCCACCTTCTGTGCATATACGAGTTTAATAAAAGAGAGCAGATGGTGGAAAGCGACTATTATAATGTATGAGCTGTGCGTGTACGGAAGCAAATGAATAAGCGGCGTCTTTATCATTAAATCCCTTTAATTTACCCGAAGATATTCTAATTTTTCCTTCCATCATCATCGCAGCGAAGGATACGTTTGCATGGAAGCTCCTTCCGTCTTTCCACGAGTTTGGAAAAAGATAATGGGCTGCAGCCGAGTATACAATTTGCGTGAGCTTTCGTTTTTTAATTTGTATTAAATATACCACCTACGCGACGGGCATCGTCTTATTTCAACTATCCGCGAGTGTGGGCGAGTTTGAATAAATTTTTTTAATATGCTCACGCGAATATAAGTATTTCACTTTCCCACAATAGATGTGCAACTATATAAGGTATACATATCTTGCATACAGAGGACGTATAAAGGTACATATAGAATCCGAGGAGAGATGCCAAAGGGCGTGACATTTTTTCGCAGCTTTTCCATCTTTGGAGCCTTTTCTGTGCCCTGGACACACACATATACGCATACACATGTACATATGTATGGATAATGTGCAATGGGGAACAAAGAGTCGACTTACCGTTTATTTTTCTGGGCTACCGCCAAAGGGTACATGTTTGTACATGCACATAATATCGTAGAAACTACTGCCCTGCACAAATACACACTATATGGATGGCGCTTATTGGTCACTGCTGTTGGTCGTATACCTATACGTACTTGGCAAAGCGAGTGTTGGGGTATTGTTGTGTACCGTAATTGACAGTGAAGCGCGGCTGTCCTTTTTTTTTTCCGAACAGGCGCGAAGTGAATGTGTCCGCATGTGTTGGAACTGACGTTCGGCTCTAATTGAGTAATTAGTCCCGACGAACTTTTCGTCTCTCTGTGCCGTTGACTGATGGCTTTAAAAAAGTGTCCGCGAAAAAATGTCCCCTCTGAAAGTTTGATCGAGCAAGCGTGTATTTTTTTTTTTTTTTTTCAACCCCGCCAAATTTGCATCCCGACGTTTTTATTCGGGGACTACAAGGTTCGACTGATTCGTCATGTCCCTGTTGAAAAAAAAAAAAGAAAAAAGAGGAAAAAAAAGAAATTCAATGGTTGAAAAGTATATACTTTACTATAAAATATATTGAGCCCCGAAACTGGGACACGATTACATGATATTAATGAGGCCAAGTTGCACCCAATGCTATACCCCTCGCACATCATGATAAAACCAAGCAATTTTCCAAATTAATGCGAAAAGATGAAAAAAAAAAAAAATTAAAATTCCCCATCAAGTGTACCCGTTAATCCCGTGGAGGATTTATCGGACGCAATCTTCGCGCACGTGGATCCTACATGCATCATCCACAAGTAATACGCCGATCGATCAATTTTTTTTTTTTTTTTTTTTTTGTCCCCCCAAGCAAATAAGTATACTCTGCTTGCCCACCTTTTTTCTCGCCCAAGCGGGGAACAAAGTACGAACGCCCTCGTTAACGTCACTTTCAGTTAAAGTCGCCTGCAGCACCGGAAGAAACAAAAAACGAAAAATAAAAGACGCGCTCCTGCCCACTGCACTATATGTATATGCGCCGTCACGAATTTCAAGACGATCCGCACCTGTTACAGGGACAGTCGTCGATCGCTTGGAGGAAAAAAGAGGTGGGCATATTTACAAACGGTAGTTCGCTACCGGCCACGGCCCCTATGCACACTCTTCCTTCCTCCTCTTTTTCCGTTTCCTCGGCCTCTCGAACCGAGTGCGATACACACACATGCGGGAAGAAGACGATACCGCGCGAACCGTCGGCTGCAAGTAACAGCGAGCTTGCACGTCATGTGTATACACCCCCCCCCCGCTTTTGTCCATCTATCTTTATTTGGAAAAAAGAGTAAAAGAGATGGGAAAATGCTGCTGATGGATTATTCAGTCCTCGGGGTAAGTTTGGCCGGGGTAAATTTTTAAGCGCAGGCAACACGGGACATGGGCCGTACCTACACAATGACTCGATAATCGATACCTGCTCCTCAACCGTGACTGACGCCCGGCAAGTTCATTAAACGCGTTTGAGGTACAAATCATTCACCAACTTTCGCGCTGCAGCGGAGGATGGGGAAACAAGTACAAACGTCGATTTTGGATTGAGCTGCGGAGAGTACACGTAAATATACCGGCCGGTCGATAATGTACTCTGATCGAATTATAAGCGTCACCAACGCGTTTCAACTGCGGTGAAAAAAAAAAAAACAAAAAACAAAAAAAAACACCCCATCCATCTTAATTTTTGTCGCCCTCC